TTGAGTCCTCATGTTGAAACAGTCAGTCCATTCTTTAGCCTTGCTGCTCCACTGAGAAGCAAAACATATTGTTATGGAGTTGAAGAGGGAGGTGACGCCGCATATGAAAAGGTATTAGATTTGGGATATTTGCATTCATTTTTCTTCCTTGTCTAGGTGATGGGACTCTACTTGGCTGAACCTGTGCAACTAGAGAAGAATAGATTGCGGGATGCGCTTGCATGCACCAGAGATATCACTTCATTGAAAGAGTAAAGTTTTCTATCGTCGCGTTCGTTTACCTATTCAGTACTCGTAATTGAATAGATCATTAATAACTTTTTGCTTTCTAGGCTCATGCTGTTGTCTCTTGATCGAAATTCTTCTTTTGTACGCCTCCAAGACGTCGACTACAACTTTAGAAGTGTTGCGAATAATCCAGTCGGCCAGGAAATTATATTCAGTTTCTTTATTGAACATTGGGACGATATATACGATGGGTTGGTAATTGAAAAAGGTATGCAACTCAGTAGGAGCTACCAATTTAGGTTGATGCCAGAACGTAGCACTATTGGAAATATCATAAAGAAAGCTGCACTTGGAATACGATCGCAACATCAGATTGAACAGGTATGAATTACTTCTCGAACAGCCCGGTCGTTAAATGCTACAACAGTCGGATGTTCACCCTTTCGCGCCTAGCCTTTTTACATCTTACTCTGACGCCACAGCTTTTTCCTAAAGACATCCTGTAACTAAAGTGCACTTCTGAAAAGATATGTCACAACTTCAGCAACGTATATTTCGTTTCGAATGACCAGTTCGACTAAAGGGGTATTCGTCGTTAGCCAAACCATAGTCTGCACAACGCCGAGATGCTAATTGGCAGGAAGAATAGGATAAGTGCGAATTCGAATCAGTCACTGACATCGCGGCACGGTAGTCGTCATAAGACTATAATCGCCGTGGACTACTGTTTGAGATATAAAAAACTCAGCTTCTTAGATGGAACCTCGACAAAACGGCAATTAACGCGACCCATTCTTTCTGACGCCGCTTCTGAATTTTTTTCATCTTTATGGTCTTTTGATCACTTTTTAGTTTGAAGTCTAATGCTTGCAAATTTGCCTTCTAAAACAATTCACCGTTTTGCAAAAACTCCAAATATCGCTCCTGATTTGCGAGCCGAAAGCCACGTGGACCGTGGTTTTTGGAGGATCCGTTTCTCGGAACTGCTCGTTGAGCATGGACATATATGCTGTACAGTATGCATGCGAAAGTGTGGCTTGAAACATTGGCCGCAACTCGCTTTAGGAATTTTGTGAAAGACAGATATACACATGGACAGACAGACGTGGATAAGGGACTATATGTCGCCAAAACCGTCGGACATCTGCAACAAATATGCATTCCAATACATCCACAGGCTAAGTATCTGCTGCATTGTCCGCACGGGACCCTTCCAATCGGCGGCGTATAGTCCTCTATCCGACAGAGGTTAAAGCATCTGAATCAATTAAAACCTAAGTTGGGACTTTTCTTCAAACCACACGAAGGAGCCGGCTGACAGCTTCTACCCTCTGATTTAAGCAAATTGGCGGCTGGAAAGAATCGCCGACGCTTACTTGCTATCTAATCCATCAAAGCCCCCGCCCTCCAGCCACCAATCTGGTTGAATCAGAGGATACCTTCTGTAGCCATTTTCTCTCTTTGAATTTTATCGTTTGCGAAACTCAGGCGACTGACGCAAGTCATCCGTCAAAACAGTATTGAGCCTGCTATAGAGATAAAAATCTCAGGCAAGTGCATCATCTGCTCTGCCGTTCGAGCAGTTTCTTGGTTGCTTCCTCGAAGCTGAACTCCATGCGCGATTCCTATGTGCCCAGATTTGAGAGGACAGTGAAAACTCTTTTATTTGGTTGGAGTTCAAAAAAAAAAAGATCGCACAAACGAGTGGTATAAGCATCGTGGCAGTGGCTCGGCAAAGTTGAACATCTCGGTTTTGATAATGTAGGTTGTTCACACCCCAAGCATGAAAATAGAGCAAAAGCGCACAGCATGCTGCCTTTGTCAAGAACATTGCCCAAAACACGTGCGCGCAGGGCATTCTTACACGCGATTGGACGAGCTCGCGATTTTCCTCTCAGCGTCGGAGGCGGCATGCTGCAACGCTGTAACCAGAAGGGTCCCGCAACGACCCTGCGTCTCTACCCATAGCGAGAACTGTTCCACTCGTCCAGATTTTATATGAAAGACCTCGGGAATGCTAATTTCAGCCATTTTCGTGCTCTCTAAGGTAGATTTCAGAATCAGGCGTCAATTTACCCCAGGTAAGCAAAAATCTTACTGTTAGGTCGAGGATTTGCCAGCCAAAGCTTTTAACTTCTTCTGATTTTGCAATCAATGTACAATACTACGCGAAAGCAAGTAAGGGTTGTTAAACACTCATACTCCTTCCACTATTACCTTTTATA